GTGAAAGGGCAAAAGATAAATAAACAGTGATATAAACAAACATGATGAGTGATTTTGATGGGAGAAAAGGTTGATGGGCCTTGGTGAGTGTGTGTGTGGTGCATCGATCCAAGAGAAGTGAGTTGGGTCCAGAAGAGAAATATATGTGCTAATCTGGTTTTTGTGAATGATTTCAGATAGTGCTTCACTACTTGTCGTGCTTTTAATTTTCTTGCTTGCCCCGTTGGCTATTCTTTTCCTTTCTTCTTTAGCACGCTTGCACCAACAAATGCACCTACAACCCTTTCTTTTAGTTGTTTTTGGAGTCTTGTGCTGCATGTTCGTTATTAAGTGGTGGCCCGATCAATGACTTAATCACCAACTAATATCTGTGTCTGCCATTTGAAGTAGCTAGTTGGTGTTTTTTTTAATTATCTGGTTCTCTACTGTAAAGCAACCACCTTTAACTTTCTGGTAAAGCTTCATTTCATCAAGTTTCTTTTATTTACAGTGTAACACTGCTCATTTGATATCGTTGTCGCTGACGAAAACTTTCTCAAGCATGCACTTATCAAATGAATCCCTTATTCGCACTTCCACCGGTACAACCGTCTTATATTTTAGCAAATACGTCTAAGATAACTTCAAACTTAATATAAAACAAAAGCCTATCGTATTATCTATTATATATCCATTACTATTTGAAATTTGAAATATAGTACGAAAGAAATTGTTCATCAAGTGATGATCCTAATTATCACGCGCACGTACACTTAATTGGTTTTAACCCTAAATCAACTTTTAGCTCTACGCAAGGCTTCAAAACGGGGACCCGAAAACTGTTGAGAATGACATACTTCACATGCTGCAATTTCCAATGTATATACAAAGCAGAAACTGAATCGTACATACGCTAATAATGTACATGTACATATAGAAGTATTCATTTGTTTTATAACCTGATCCCCATTCACCTCGTACCAGTTCCATGTATCTGTTAAGTTTTCCTCATCTGAGGTCGGATCTATGGTTAGTATTCAATTTTTTTTTTAAAAAAAGGTTTGTATAATTATGTTGAATAAAAAATGGAGCTGACCATCTCACATGTCATGTAGCTACAGGCAACTACCTATTCACATCAAGTTCTCTCATTGATTGCATCCTCCCACATGATCATGCCCGACCAATCAATAGCATCCACGTGGGACACGCTCCCTGTTCACATGGCCGTGTTCCTACCCGAAGGGCCCGTGATCCAACGCTCCAAGATTCACTCGGCAAACTCCACCAACAGAATATTAGCCGTCCGTTCCTGGTCCACGTTCTTCAGTGCCATTGCCCGACCTTGTTCCTCCCTTGTCTCCCTTGTCCTGGACACCGTCTATTCGTCTCTTCCGCGTCCTTTCCCCCGCCACGCGCTACCTGCCCAAACCGTGTGCGGGTGTGGGTCCCACGTGTAAAAGTCTGCCTTGTCACCACCCAATTGGCGGGTGAGGAAGCGCGTGCAATAATGGAAAGTAGGTCTATTTTGCTGAGTCAGTGCCCCATGAGAGCAAGGGAATCCAGATACTATTGTCCCTTATCTCGCTGTTGTGGCGAGCCACTATAAAATTGGGTGGATTGGCTAAGCTGCCTCATATCTTCTTCATTCTTCGTCTTGGTGCTTATAAACTCAAAAACTCTCTTCTCTCCGTCGCTCAGAGATCAGAACTGGAGTGTTAAATTTGATCATCATTGAAGATCAAAGAAATGGAGAATTCAGTATCAATGGGTGAGCTGAACCTGAAGGACACAGAGCTAAGGTTGGGATTGCCAGGCAGCGACGAGCCAGAGAAACGATGCAGTGTTGGAAGCAAAAGGAAATGTTCACCTGAGGAAACAAGTCGTGAGGAGGAATTAACAGGCAAGAGTAGTAGTGATGCTAAAAGTGATCAAAACGAGTCAGACCATGGCCCACCAGCAAAGTAAGTGACGATATATTTCTTTATCTTTCTCAGAGAACTTGAATTGTTTTGATATGTATTTGGAGGGGTTTGATGTCTTGTTACAGTACGTGTTGTTTTGGAAATGGCAGGGCGCAAGTAGTGGGATGGCCACCAGTGCGAAGTTTCAGAAAAATAGTATGCAGCAAAAGAAGGAGGAAGAGAGTGGAAGGTACGTGAAAGTGAGCATGGCTGGTGCTCCTTACTTAAGGAAGATAGATATCAAGGTTTTTAAGAGCTACCCACAAGTCCTCAAGGCCTTAGAAAAGATGTTCGAGTGCACTTTTGGTGAATATTCAAAAGAGAGGGATACAATGGCTGAATATGTTCCCACCATATGAAGACAAAGACGGCGATTGGATGCTTGTTGGAGATGTTCCCTGGGAGATGTTCACATGCTCCTGCAAAAGGCTCAGAATCATCAAAGGATCTGAAGCTAAGGGTTTGGGTTGTCTATGACCTTAGCATGCATATCCATATCATCCACGCATTTACGTAGTAGCTACGTGCTCAAACAGTCCACGGCGACATCAGAAATCCTCTTCTTCCCCCCCCCCCCTGGGTTGTCCAAATGGAAGCATCAATTACAAAAGGGCGACCTGAGATATATATATTATATACGTAGGTGAGAAACAGAGACACACAGTTTTTTCTACCTCCCCATTATCTATGTATCGGCGGATTTCAGGTCTTCTTCCTTGGCCATATGTGGTCTTCTGTTTCTTTTTTTTTTTTTTTTTTTAATTTTTTGCCCCCCTTTCCTTCTTTTTTTTCGAAAGAAGAAGCCAATTAATGCTAATTATATTGTACAGAAGATATATATAAAATCTTTTTGTTCTTGATCTGTTCTTGTGCCAGTTATACTATATTCTTTGTTAATATCAGATTTAGTTTGTAGTTTAAATTGAACTATCAGAATCAGAGATAGTATTATAGGGAAAATAGGCAGAGCTATTTAAATTTCTTTTGTTGTCGGTTGGTCTTGTGTGCTGTAAATGAAGACATGAATTTTGGATGCATGTCCCAGTTTTGATGCTAATCGTTTGATTTTGCGTATATGGCATTGATGATACGAAGAATGAGACCAAAGAAGGAATAATTCCATATATTTGTGTGTGTGATGAAATGAGTTTGAGATATCTCACGAGAATTACAATAAATGGCACCGCTATAGACCTCCTGGTAACATGGGGATGTCAAATCAAACAGGATGGCAATTGTCCCTGGCTTCATGATTTTATTAATTTCGGGATTTAACTTGCATGTCGGACACGAAATTATATTGCATTGCATATTCTCCCAGTGGGATGGTCCTCTCATGGTTTAGCAGGTAATTAATTAATTTAGGGTTTAAGATTTAGAGTTTAGCCAGTTTTTATGATAAGATGCTGTGTTGCGTACGTAAACTAGTAAACTTTTCATACCATAATGACGTAAACGAGAAAAATTTTCCCGGTATATTTATTATAATGTCCCTAGCTAATTTCTTGAGTTTAAGCTTGCCAATGACAGCACAATCATGAAGATGAGAAAATTTCATGGCCTTGGTTCACCATATATATTGGTCCAGTTATTACTTAAAGTTAAGAAGATGGAGGCATCAGGAGTCTTCAATTTGTGTGAGTAAAATACCTTATTCAAGATGTTCAATAAATAGGGATCATGCAGGTTCGTCGACGAATATGAAAAAGCTTTATGTCATTTTCTATGATCAAGAATCATTCTTTAAAGATATTAGCAATTTCGGGAAAAATCGACTTCTTGGTCAAAGTGATGATTTAGAAACTCACTGTTTGCAGTGGGACAGTGTGTCATGAACTCGAAAGCTTGGGAAAAAACAAGCAGAAAATCAATTCCCAGGAACTGTGGCTTTGTATTTTAGTTATTTCCTACTTCAGAAAGATGCCTCTACAGGTCGCTACAGGGTTCGGGTAGTTTGGCGGATCCGATGTGGGCGCGTTATATTTGAATTTTGTGAAGCATCTTCGTCCACATCGTTTGCGATATCTGCATGAAGCTAGCCAGTCGACAGCTTAACATGGCACGCAGGTGCAAAAGGATTTTGTGTTGTAGCATTGCAGAAACAGAGCGCGGGATTAGAGTTTGATATCAGTCATGTCAAGAACAGATCTTAACTCCAATCAGTGAATAGAACCAGTCAACTCTTTTTCTCATAAGAGAAGACAGATCACCATTTGGCCCTCACGTACAGGCCAGAAGTAGGGTACCAGGGAGGAACGTTCCAATTTAGACTTTCTGGTTCACAGACCAAATTAATGAGTAAAGTGGGAATGCCAGACACAGGATTCGGTTTCTGCAAAATGGTGATACTGTCCTCTATCTAACTCAGCCTACACACACTTCATCCCATGTTATGGAGGACCCAGTATCTGTCATTGCACGCTGTGTTCTGTCTCTGTGCTGACATTACAGTTGTCCACTTGCCTAGTAGCCTTGCACACCCATAAAGGGGGACAAAATCTCTTGAATCAATGCATAGGACTCCAGCAAGAAAGAAGACGCCATCCTTGAACTAATCATAACGCATCAGAATAACCACCCAACGAATCCCAGCGTTCCAGGCATGAAGAAGAGACCTTCAAATCTCATCTTCCCCACACATGAATATCTGCCCTGAACACTATAGAAGCCTATTCCCCCGCGTACCTCTATTATCAAGAATTAGGCCTCCGCAACCTCCGCCTGCCTTATGCATATGACTTGCCTATATTTTATTTCTCGATAATTGTCTAAAATTATTGAATTTAAGAGGAACTCGATTTGAAAAGATTTTTCCTACAAGGGACTATCATCGTATGACTCATCATAACATGACCTTGTCTCTGTAGTAACGCAACGTTTAAGGGACGAAAACGTTGTATTGACGAGGGCATCCTTATGGGCATTATTTAATAACTTTATTAACAAGTATACTACTCCCCTCGAATCTGAGTAAATATAATCACTTGTCCAAAATGATATATCGAGGATGGTTTTATTTATAAAGACAAAAATAGTTTTTGATGTCGTTCACGATAATAATTCAGCAAATAAGATACACGTGCGGAATCAGCGCAGAAAATTAGGCACAACAAACGAATAATGTAAGTTGCTGAAGTAGAGCTATAATTTGCATTCAAAGTGTAACACAAACTGTACAAAGTATCCTCGTCAAAATCAAATGCTACGTTGGGCACCGCTGACACAAGCTTTTAGAAAGACAAGAATTCATCAGCAGCCGCCATGCTTACAGCATCCTAGCATTTTGATCAGGGAAAAGCTCCATCCTCGTATCCATTATTTCCAGCTGGGACTTGACCCATGGTGGATTGGACCTGCCCTCCACCCACAATGCTTCCCCTGTATCTTTGTGCTTGAAATCGGGATACTTTGGGTTCCTCTGCAAATTTTACAAAAAACTTCAGGCACCCATATTCAAATAGGCTTTCCTATAACTATGGAAGCATAATAATCATAAACAAACCAGGAAACCACCCGTGCCATGCAGAGGTTGGTGATCAGTTGCTGTTGATATAGCGCTTAAGAGATGAGTGATTGTATAGTATGAGGTCATCATCATAATTTTTGTTTGGATTATTATACCGGAAATTAATTATTGAGCTAAATCCATATAACAAATGGTAGAATGAATATAAAGCAAACTGCAAAACTATTTACTATTTTACTGCTTGTTTCTGAGCGTACATGCTTAAAATGGAGAACAGACACCCCACCCCATGCTCAATGGCAAGTTAAGTAACAAGGGTCAAAGTTATAAGACGGGAAAATAAGGCAACAAGAGAAAATATAGCCATATAGGTGTCAGGGAGAAGGGATTCATAAAACAATTGCAACATTCAGTAGGCAATGGATTACTTGAAAATTAAACAGGCATCAGATTCCACGAGGAATATAATTACAGCTGAGAAGCAAAACCTTTTCTTCATTTAAAAGATACTACCTCTAGTCCTTAATATAAGAACTAGTTAACTAATTTCAGTAAATTACATTGATAATACCTTTAACAACTACAACTACTATAAAGATACCTTGAAAAAAAATAGATAAATATGAGAACAAAATAGATTGGGGTCTTATATTTAGGACCAAATTACTAACTCTTATATTAAGGATAGGATAATAATTAACAATTTACCTTGTTTTTCCTGTTGTCCCACCACTCCTCTGGCCTAGCAAAGAACGCTTGCCATAATTCTTCTGCAGAGCCATTATTATTTACACCGAGTTCCCTCTTCTATCTGAAATCAAAGCAGAAAAAAGGCCTGCCATTAAGCGGAAAAACAATAGTGAGACATAGTGGACACTATATTTGATTGAATACATGACTTGCCAGTCATCGTGGAATGAGACTCGCGATTGTTTTGTCGATACTGGTAATTGACCCCTTTCAATGAAATTCAGCTGCTGAACAAACACCTGCTTGAGACCTAAAATATAGTGATTCACTTGCAGAAGGGCAACAAATACGTACATAAAATAAAAAATAGGAAATTACAAAACCTTGTAGTAGGTCTGCGGTTTCCCGAAGTTGCTTTGGACAGTATCTGTAACCAGGCGACCAGAAACATAAATTTGGTGGCCTCTCTCTACATGCTGAAAAGCAACATGTGCAAGCTCATCCCAGAATGTCAAGTTTATCCTTCATTTGAAAAAGTAACTTCTCTGAGAACATAATTCTTAAAAATCCCAGAAAGTGTTTTAGGCCGGAAACGCAAAGCTACTTTTCCCTTCATTCTAGAGTATATTGTTACTCTATAGCCAAAATAAAAAATCATCAAAAGAAACTACACAGTGGCACCCAATTGAATGGGAATGCAATGCAATAGAGCTCTAGTTAACATTTTGCTTATTCAGATAATAAACAGTGCTTTTTGTTCCTTTTATGGGCACCAACCACCATAGGAATTCCTTTTCCACTTCCTGCCCATTCTATATTACTCATTTGAAAAAGTACTCAACATGAATTCAAATAGCAACATCTTGCAGCAACAGCTATGGGAAAAGCTATGAGTTCCCATCCCCCTTTTTCTAGAAGTTGAAGTGAAGCTAAAGACTTAAGTGTAGCAAATAAATTTCAGAGAGCAAGTCAATGAAAAAGCCATCGCCGAAGTGCCCCACGAATTGCCACCCGGTAAGCAAATCATTAACCACGAGGGTAACAAGAAAGCAAACAATGTTTAAATGCCACGAATAATAGCAAACGGGTGAAGTACCAGATGACTGGGTGGCATTTTTTTTTAACGGCGAGGCGGGTCCAGGCGACCACTTTGCCGAGGGAAAGTTCTTAATTTCTACAGGAATGGCGACGATGCCGATTAGATTGACGGAATTGCAAAGCTCCTTCTTCCAAGGAATCACTGGGGGCTTAGGGTACGAGACCTGAGGCTGGGAGTGATCGTTATTAGCGTAGAACGGGTCTTTGTAATCATTCATGGAGCACTTGAGGCAACCATTCCACTTATAAGAGTGGGTTTTGTAGGGAGAGTATACGGAAGGGAAAGGTTTGGGCATTGAATTACAGACGGAGATTTGGGGATACGGGGGATGATGTGCAGGTTTCTCAAACTAGCTGCTTGTTCCAACCCCATTGCTTCTCGTCTTCTCAGGGACTTATCTTCAAGTATTTCACACTACGGAGGCTCATTCAGGGTCGAGGGGAGGTAATGGTGTCCATTGCTCTGGGCTTCGGAATGGAACAATTGTCGAGGAAGCCCGTGTTCAAATTATGGACTAATGAAGAATGGAATCCCTTAAGCCCAAAACTTATATAATTGGGCTTCAGGCAATTTGCTCCGTTAATCATGGGTAGGCCCATAGCTCCGTTCAAACTGTGGGATTCTTTTGCCGACAAATTATGGGCCACTTGAAGCCTGGAATCCCTTTCAGCTCAAAACTCATGTAACGGGCCATTTGCCCCTTTAATCATGGGCAGGCCCATAGCTCGTCAATTTATGGGCCAGTTGAACCGAATCCAGTTAAACCCAAAATTTATATAACTGGGCTTCAGACCATTTGCTTGGCTAATATGGGTAGGCCCATATATCGCCCGTTGAAGAATGATATCCTTTTAAGCCCAAAAATAACTGGGCTTCAGACCTTTGCTCCGTTATATGGGTAGGCCATAGGAACTATCTCTTTTTTCTTCTTCTCTTTTCTTCTACTCTCATCTGACATGTGCATCTTAACATTATTTTAACTTTAAATTTCAATATAAATTGTTTTATAATTGCAGCTATTATCGTATGATCAATAGTAAATTTTATTCGAGATAAACTATTTTCCAAGATATAATATTTTATCGTACGAAATTCTATTTAGATAATATATTTCTCAAGTAACAAAAACGCTAGATAACATTAAATAGTAGAAGGATAAGGGTGTCTTGTTTTTCTGAGTCGATATTATCAACTTGGGTACTTTTTCTCGTTTTCGAGTGTATACATAAGCTAGGAACCTTATTTTTTTTTTTTTTTTTTCCAAAATACAAGTCAGGAACTTATTTTCCAATAAAACAGGAAAATAAGCTTCCCGTATTAGAGTCAAACAAAAATCTTTTGCTTTTTACTAATAGGCATTATCTCTAGCAGTAGGAAGAAATTTCTGTTAAAAAAAAATGCTCATATTTAGTACTTAATGGTGTCTTAAATGAGATCACTTCAAATAAGAGGATATATACGCTTAGGACAAAAATCTATTTTTTTAGAGATGAGAGATCAATTGAAGAGTTTTTTTTCCCTCTTCTTATCTTATTTTCTTTTCTTTTGACCCAAACAGAGTTGAGACACGGCGCACATAGGCTAGTTGAGTTGATATTTGATAAATGGGCAGAAGCTCTGTAGAACGGGAGATGTTTGTCCTATCTGTCTATTTTATTAATGGCTTATGGGCATGAACCGTTGAAGACAGCACCCTTATCCGTCCTTCTTCGAATTCTACAATGGTTTGTCGTCCAATAATTATTCAGGAGAACAAAGCTGAGCCTGGTGACTTTTGAGTTAAAGCTGACGCCCACCCAATAACAAACAAAAAGTATAATCATTTTCCGCGCGACTCCGCAAAAAACAGCATTCTTCAAAGCAAACATTATTCATCTCAAATTCTTGAGAAATTACATCCCCTCTATCCGATGACAAGGTCCCACAAACCATTACCTTATAAAAAGCGCTCCCGTAATGTTCCACTACCCCCACTCCACCCATTGATCCAAAAAAGCAAGAGCTTATCAAGTGAACTTTGACAATTCCTTTCCTTTTACTTGAAACTTAGCAAGACAAGGTGGGATCTGTCATATTTTCAAGGCATTGACATCCACCCCTGCACTGACAAAAAAAAGCAGAAAAAGAAAGGCAAAAAAGATACAACTATGGCATCTGACTTTGATTGCATCCAGTGACTGGAATTATGGGGGTTTTGAAACACACATAAATGGGGGGTCCCAACAGTGTTAGGTGAGGCCTTGGAGGAGGGTGAGGTCTTCTATGGAGGAGGATTAGTCTCAGACTTAACTATGCTTGAGGTGTCTGGTGGCTGCGAGTGGTATATTGCAGACGCGAGTGAGATCGGCATTATGCAGAGAGCCTTCGATTGAAGGAATTGCATGGCAGCTCCAACATTTTCCTCCATAAGCTTAGCTACTTGTCTTTCCGTGCCATCATTTGACCACTTCTCCCACACTGCTTCATTTCTTCCACCTTCACTTCCATCTTCCTAATAAACACTAGATTTGATTAATTGTTTGAAGAGATATATAGTAATTTTTTAATACTAGATTTAGATACAGTTCTGTATACTTGCTATCGGATTTTTCAATTAAAAGTTGACTGCTCTATAGTTTTCAGTGATAATAGGGAATTCTATAGTCATCTGTAGAAACCATGAGGTTACTACTAAAGACCTATATACTCATCATGTACTAATCAGAGAAGCTGACCGTAAAGAAGAAAGAGTTGTATATAATTTTTTATTCGTTTTATTCTATAATAGTCATACCTCAACTGATGATAATGGGATGTCAGTCACCAGTGGTGCAACTGCACCGGCTCCACCTAATCTACTCATACTCAAAACCTGAAAGACAAATGGAATCAAATTGAATAGTCACTACAAGAATTCCAAACTCTTGGTTTCTCACACTTTGTGGAGAACTCAAGAAGTGGACCCCGTGAAGAGTCTCGCTTTGATATTCATATCATAGGTCAATCAATTTGTTTTCCAATTGATGTCTAGGGGATTTAATGAACAAAATTTTTAACATATTCAGAGAAATTGGTATTAGAAAAAGAATAAAAAATAATAGCTTCCATCATGGAGAAACATTTAAGTCAACAACCAAAGACGCCTTCAATTACCTTCACTTGAAGTCTTAAGAACTTGACATAATCCACAATTTCATCTAACATGGCAGCTCTATCTGTCTGAAGAGGCACAAAAAACATAAGAACAAATGAAATAATTTGAACCTAATTTTCAAATGAAATATTACAGGGCAGCAATATTGAGAAACACTATGAGAAAACAAAGCATAATAACATTTTCTGCATTTTCCTGTGATAATAGTGATCACTATCTCTGGTATCAGTTGCCAAGAAGACATATAAAAGATAAATTAGTTAAGTTACAGGCATCAAATTACTGCCTAATAACAAGAAACGTCAATTTTGTTTTACAAGACATACAGCTTCTAACTAAATGGTGATTAACATGAAAGAAAAGTCATTTACCTTATTAACACTAGGAACCAGTTCCTGCAAGGCCCTAATTCTTTCCGCTATTCTTTCTCTGCGCAACTGTCATCAAAAGATAACATAAAGAATAATTAAAAATAAGCCTCATCTATGGACAAATGATGTTAATGTCTCAACAAATCATCCTCATGCTTAAGATCTAAACATGATGAAGCAGACGATTAGCATTCATGCAAATATTCTGAGAATATCCTGAGACTCACCCGTTCAGCTATGCTGTGTGGATCTGTGGCCTGTCCTCTTCTAGCCCGCACCCTTGGTCGCATTGTTGGTGGCTGTGGAGCAGCAGGAATGCTAGATGGCATAGACTGCCCATGAAAAACCTGCAAAGAGTTCATTGGATCAGGAAGAGAAAATGCTTCCTGATCAACAGATTCACCGTCCCAGCCCAATGATAAAAAAATTGAAGTAAAATGGAATAGAATCTAATTTTTATAATATGAAATCATTTATTTAACCATTAGTAAAAATCAATCTTAGATGCTCCAAATTAAATGACATTTCCTAGGGTTCAAAGATCCCAGAAATTGACCAGAAATACTTACGCAAGGGCCTGAGTAACTCAACTTTTAGCACATCACGATTCTATGAGCTTAAAACAATTTGCAATTCAAAGATTATTCCGTCTCACGAATATTAATTTCATTCAATTCTAGTATGACTTTGTCACACCATAAGGCTATTTGATGGCTGTACTTTGAACCAAACACGACCATCTGAGATAATTATAATAACATGACATGTTAATAATATAACTTGCTACACATTTTATATTTTTTTGATACATTACTGTGAAGACCACGTCAAAACCTTTACCTGTACAAAAGACAGACCATGACTGCCTATCCGTTTTCTAGAATAACATCTCCTTCCCACTTTCATTAGTATCAAATTGTACGTGAAGCATTAAACCCGTCCTAACAACTGATTCCCCTTTGTTGTACATCCATCACAAGCTTTTTTATTTTCATTTACTGTTCCCTACAGACAAATGAATCAAGCACAGCCTAAAACCTTACGTCTTAAAGGTTTCGAAACAGTCTTGTTCTTTCAGGAATTGGGAAAGAGAAGTTAATATATTTGATTAATTTTTACCGAAATGATCAATTTTCCGCCGTGAAGTCATGGGAAATGGGAAATGAGAAAAAGGAAGTACTATCACCAACTTTCCTTTTTTTTTTTTTTGGGGGGGGGGGGGGGAATCTACCTTCTTAAACTAAAACCATTAAACCGCTAAGCTCACTTACAACTGAAAGTCATAACCAAGAGACGAAAAATAAATATTTAATTTTTATATTCGCAAGAATCATTATGGATGAATTGCAGTCAATTTCCGCCAACACTAACAGAAAACTGAGGAAACAATAAACAAGCTTATCTTACATTCTTAGTTCTACCATCAACGATGTCATCGCGAAAGCGCTTCCCACTGCCCGAAGCCTCCTCGGGTTTAAAATAACTTCCTCCTTTTCCTTGCTCCAAACTGAGGCCTAACTGGTATACTGGTCCATGAAAACCAGTACCGCCAGCAGCACCGACGGCGGAGGGGTGGCCGGTGGCATCGCTGGAGTTGAGCTGCAGCATCTTAGGAGCCGGAGAAGCCGTACCGGCCAAGCCGCCATCAGCTCCAGCCAGGCCGGAGTCAATGGAAGCGAAGGTTGGGAGCCCAAGGATTTGTTCGAAGAAGTCGTCGGTGGAAGCCTCGGATGGGTTATTGGCCATGAGTCAAGACTCGGGACGAGTCGTGCTGAGAAACAATTGAAGGACTCGATTCCTATCTACATGAAGCGCAGAGAATTTTTCCAACTCCCGCAGAGTAGCTTTTTTCCTCCTCTGCCTTATTTTCACGAAGCAGTACCGGTGAGTTCTCAGAGAGCGTGGAGAACAGACCAATGGGAAGTGGTGGCTTTATGCTGAGTTTAGGAGAAATCTGCCCTTTATCTAAAAGGGGCTCCATTTTAGATAATTTACAGGTCCACCCTGCCTTTCCTCTTCTGACGTTGTTGTTTATGATAACGCATGGCGTAGTTTAAAATGAGATGAAAGTTTTCAATAAAAAAATATTTTACTTATAACTTTAATATTGTTATTATCTGTCATTCTAATTAAAAAAAGGGGAAAACATTTACAGTCACTGTGGCAAATGGGGCCGCGAGAAGTATTGATTTTGCCAGAATTGATGGAAAATGAATTAAACTTGATAAACTTAAAAACAAAATTTATATGTTTGTCATCCCAAAGGACAATTACTGTTGAAAAGTCAATGCGCTACAATAAAAAAATAGAAATACTGTTTATTTAAATTGAGATAAAATTCTCCTCACATATTTATTTTGTACATCGTAAAATCACTTTTTAAAATATAGTTTAATTTTCTTTTTAATATTCTTTTAACATAAAATTTAATTTGTAGTCAAGAGCCCAGTGCTACATAAATAACCATCCACACCAAAAAGACTCGTCATCATAATACAAAAAACGTAAGCACGGCAGCGTGAAGATGTAGAATCCTTGTCAGCAGAGCCCAATTCTCCAGCACTGCCCAGCTCATGAACCCCTCCAATTTTAAATTACATTATAAAATAAATTTTATATTATATTATAAAATAACTCTTACATTTAGAATTGAAGTAACACTTTTTAAAAAATATAATTAATTAATTGCAACCCATTTTCTTTTCAGGCGGTACGATTTTTGAATAAGAAAGAAGAAAGAAAAAGGCACGACTGCAATTCTCTAATACTACCTCTGGTCCTAATTATAAGACCTAATTGACTAATTTGAAGAGATTAAGAAAGTAAATTAAGTTAGTTATTTGTAATAAATAAGTGTTGTTATTCCTAAAATATCCTTGCTAATTAAGTGTATTAGTTAGAACTATCATTATTAGAAGGATTATCTTGAAAAAAAAATACATAAATATGAGAGATAAAATAGATTGAGGTCTTATAATTAAGACCAAACTAAAAATCAAACATGGTCTTATATTAAAGACCGGAGGTAGTATTATACAACGCAATTCTGTTACCCTTACATTGTTAATACTCCTCCGGTCCTAATTATAAAACTCAATTAACTTATTTGAGGAAATTAAGGAAGTTAAGTTGGTTATTTATAATAAATAAGTGTTGTCATTCCTAAAATATCTTTGCTAATTAAGTATATTGGCTAAAACTATCATTATTAGAAGGATTATCTTGGAAAAAATGCATAAATATAAGAGATAAAATAGATTGGGGTCTTATAATTAGGACCAAATAAAAAGTCCAATGGGGTCTTATAATAAGGACCGGAGGAGTAATAATTACGTTTTCAAAAATCAATTTCACTTCGGACAAAAACAAGTCAAACTTTCATGTTTATTCACTTGGTGAAAATAAGAGACACAAGTAGACAAAAACAAGTCAAACTTTCATGTTGATTCACCTCGAGAAAATAAGAAACACAAGTAGAAAGAAGTGGGGTAAAAGGGAGAAACGGGGCGTCATTCTATATCACTTAAAAATGTTTTCAGTGTTCCCCCCGACCGAAAAGTCCTTGTCCTCTTCCGTTTTTTTTTTTTGGGGAAAAACATCAAAATGATATAAATTAAAAAGCACACAAAAGAGTGATCCGCAAAAAAGACTCAAGACTCCGAATGGAAAGAAGACACTGAGGCTGAGCCCGAATAACAAAGAAGCTTCTTTCGTCTATACAGCAGCCTAGTTAATGGGGCTAGGCTTGTAACCAATAAATTAAAAAAATACAATGGGCCAGGCTTTACCCCAATGACAATCACAGTAGCAACTATCCATGTTGCCCAACGGTTTATCATCTGCTACTAGTTACTATAGCCCGGAAAGGCAAATCCCTTGCATGTACTGCAACTCTGCAAGGGCTCTTTGGGATGCAGTCTTCTTCCATATCTCGCTTTCCCCTGCCAGCAAAAGACCTATCGTTCGTAGCTGGAGAGCGTGGAAATGTTGCAACTTACAAGCAATATAGCAAGACATAATATGCACAATATCTCTCCAAGTACATGCGAACAATCTCCAAGACTTCAGACAAAACACTGAATAAGTTGGTTATACACCAAATTAGGAAGCATAAGATCCTCTCGGCCTTTGTAAGGGATTCTAGGTCAATAAAAAGTTCTCAACAACTCTGACATAAAGAATTGCTTTCTATCGGGGGGAAAAATGAATAGCTTCTGGCTTCCTTCGGCCCCCTGACGTCACATTGCTTAAACGATTTGCTAGTTATAAGGTCATGTGTTCATCATGCACCAGTTTCTCGCCACATTCTAATATGCAGAAGCAGAAAACCTTCATTGCCATAGTGTCACCAGGAATAGTAGCCCCCAATGACTACTTTGTCAATTGCCACAGGGTCACTAGGAATATCCGAATATCAGCCACATCCTTTCTTTCAAAGGTAACAGTCAACAATTTTTAACCCATAGATTCCTAGACGTTTCCTATCCTGAACATAGAAGTTAATATTTGTTGATATCACATCTCCTCATTGATGTTTGCAAATTATTACTGACATCTTTCCAGTTCAACACCAAAAACTATTAATTCTCTGTGCCCGCGCGCATGCACAAAGTACTAACCTAATGCCTTCATTAAAACTGCCCGCTAAATTGGTATAATTTTATATTTGCAGATGCTAAAATCTAAGCACATATATCTTGGAGAATGACGTATCACGTGGTATTACCATACCTTTCATATTTGGTTTCGGGGCTGTGAAAAGAATTCCTTTGCATTATGAGCTACCTCAGCCTCTAGAATTGCTTCCAAAACTATGTCAGATCCTGTCACATCAGCTGCCAAAACAATGATGTCATGGGCTGCTCAGTTTAAATATTAATCAATAACAAGGGCACTTCTTCAACATTTCTCCTCATACCAAATAAATCAAATTAAAAAAAGAAAACTGGTCACACAATCATACAAATCCAGAGAGCTGCCACACATTTTTCAAGAACTTATACTTTTTTTATATGCATTAACTACCGATATTCATCATTTGTAATTTTAAGCCAGATAAACCAGAGGTAGCCGAATAAGAATGATGTCAAAAGCCAACCATGTAGATGACAAGCAACAAGAAAACATAAATGGTAAATGATCATCACCCCCGCGATTCGGTGACAGTCCAGCATCTTCGGCAGATATTGGAATGACAGCAAGGGGCTGTTCGTTGTCAATCCTCACTTCAGTATTACTAGTTGACAGGTTATTCTTTATGGCAGGAGACTCAGCCAATCTGGCATAGGTAGTTGCTTGACAATGCATATTGCATGAATCTGAGGATGGTAGTGCAGAATCCTGGAAACAAAAATAGGCACGTGATATGCTAAGATCCTAAAACAGAATATAATTATTCGAAGCTCCAAAGTAAACCTTGATAACAGAGAGCACTGAGTCATTCTTTCCGCTAATGTTTTCTGGTTTCCTATTGGCAAGACCAATAGTAGTTTGACGATGCATATTGCATGGATCTGAAGGCAGTGAAGCAGAATCCTAGAACCAAAGGTAGGCATGTGAGTATAATCAGATCCTAAAGCATTATATATAATTATTTGAAGCTGCAAGATAAACCTTGGAAACAGTGGATGCTGAGTTATTCTCCCAACTAGTGCTTTCTGGTTTACTATTGCCTATATAAAATAAGAAGAGCATTGCAGAATTGTACAGAGTTTCAGCAACCATGTCTGTAAAACTCTAGTGCATACAACAATATGCCTAAAATTATTTGTTCAGATAATACCATCTGAGGTAGATTTGAGGTCAATATTATCCACAAGCCTCCGGGTCAAAGGACCAGGATTTATGATTGATATGCTTCGAATTTCATGCCGTATGGCATCTAGCTGGGCCATTGTATCCTGCAATTCCTTATGAACCTGAAAAAATAACAAATGAACGTAATATAATTTAAATTCTGCAAAGGAATGCCATGGCCAAAAGTTAGTTTGGATAAAGGTGATCCTCTGATGAGATATACAGATATGCTCCTAACAAAAATATTTTTTATCAGAAATATTGATTGAAGATATCCAAAGTGCATCACATTCATTCAAGAAATTAGGCTTTTTAATTGTTCTCATATCCTTTTTTTCCTTTTCTAAAGAAAGAAAGAAAGATTATGTTGAACCCCCCACTTCCTCACTGATGGGAGGAGTAGAGAGAATGAAAGGAGAGGAAGGGATGAAGTTGGAGACTGCACTGACAAGATAAACTGACTTCAACTGGTCTAAAGAATTGGCATACAGCTATTGACAGGACTATTTATAGGAACCCACAACAAGAGAACAAAATGAATGAAAAGACAGAAAAGTAAACAAACCAGAAAATAGATAGCTAGAATTTCGAGCGCATAGAATAAGTCAGCCACAATTTCTATTCCTATTCTCCATCTATTTTTTATTTATTTTCTCGCCTGCACCTCAAGCAACAAAGGGGATACATTTATCATCTACTATATGATCAGGTAGTTATATATATATATATATATATATATATATATATATTCAATCCACATCATACTGCCTTGGATAAAAAGGGAGCACCTGGCGAGCTTGAGTTTGCTCCATAACAGAGTCGAACTGGCCACGAGCCAACTGCACGTATCCAACAGCTCGGCCAGCTAGCCTCCCTGCCGTTCTAGCAATCCTTGGCAAATCCTTTGGGCCTATTGTACAGTTTGGTGGATAAGGAATTTGAAATTGCGCTAAGAAATAAATTTGATAAATGCGGGTAAGTACCGATCAAAGCAGCAGTAGCTCCAATCAACAGAAACAGCTCTCCATACGAAATTCCCAGCATTGTTCACTGCTTGTGGCACCTCAGCCTCTGAGAAGAGAGGAGTTTGAAAATCAAAATAGAATTGCCACGAAACATTTCGCACAAAAGCGTAACAATTTCATTTTACGGCACTCACTGCAAAAACAATCCAAGAGGTAGCATTCGAAAATCAATTTCATAAATTCAATACACCGAAAGAAGGAGGTTCATAACGAAGCTCAGAAACCGACAAACAACCGATTTTAACAACTCAGGAGTTTCTTTCGAATTGCACTTCTTATCCTTTATCGTGGGCCAAGTTCCAGTATTAGGTCCATGACGGATGGGGGTAATCCTAATGCTCTGGTCCTCAATAGGCGCTAGGGCAGCAGAGAAGATTCAGGGGACGGGAAAGGAAGTATCGAACGAGATTCGAAAGAAATTTTCTTCGTGACGATACAACGCTCTCGAAAGAATGAAATTATGATTTTGGATTCTCAATTTAAAAAATAACAAATAAAGACCCGATTTTATATTGTAAATATGAAATCTTGATAAAATGTCTGAAATACTCCTCAGCTAAATGTCAAGTTAACTATGAGAAATGATGAGTTTACTTTAACGAATGATAATTTCAATAAAACAAATCACAACTTAATTGAGGGTATGCCAAATGACAAGTTAACTATGAGAAATGACAAATTCAGTAGATCAAATCATAATTTAGCTTAGGAACATTTCAGACGTTTCATTAATTAAAATTTCATATTTACAATATAGGATCAAGTTTTTATTTGCTATTTTTCAAATTAAAGATCCCAAATCATAATTTCACATATTAGAGAGTTTTTATTTGCTATTTTTCCTTTTGTTTATGACCTTCATAATCTGTCAAAATTATCCAAAATGAATGAATGAAAATATCCTCGATGCATAACTCAATACATAATTTGGTTGAAAATCGAAAGTTAATTGCAAATAGATTATAAATTGCGAAAGTTATATAAATTTTAAAAGATTAATTATACATCGTTAAATTTTAGCGGTAAATAATAGAAGACTAGCTGCGGATAAGTTGTAAATTATGAATACAATTCAAACATTTCAAAGAATTTAGCGAATTGATCTTTTGACTTTTATAATTAACTCTTTCTATTATTATAATTAAGTATTTAAAGTTTATAAACCTTTCACAATTTATGAGGGACTTTATAAATAATTTTCCATCATTTATCATTAAGCTTCCAACATTTATTAGTGAACATTTAAGATTCATAAACCTTCTACGATTTATAATTCATGAGAGCGTCCACTCATTTCTTTTTAAAAACTTTATCCCTACTCCATAATTTCCTGCAAAAGAGCCTAAACCTGATGGCTACTGATGCTCGGGCTGAACTTACCTTTAAATCATATTTACCTAAAAAACATTGTGTCATTATTTTTTATATTTTAGAGCATTGTAATTACTTTTTTCTGCCTTCATTTTTTAAGCTATCACTATTTTTCACTAAACTAAACGCGCATTTGCTTATCAAATTATCCTTATATTCGATGGCAAAAATATATATTTATATATATATATATATATATATATAGATATATCCTTATCTTCATTGTGTACCAAACCTCAAGTGAAAAATTGAGAATTTGAGGCGGAGAAAAAGCAACATCTATTTTGTTTAAAATAATCTCTATGTAATATAAAAAATTTTAACAAATCACTAGTTATGAACCATAAACCATGCATCTTATTTCTTCAGACTCCATGCAATACAAAGGCACCATGCTAATTTATTCAAAGAGGAAAGAAAACAACCCCACAAAAGCTAAATTATCCAAGTTACAATTCAACAGGAGAGAATTTTTTTAAGGTTTTTTCCGGAGGCGTTGGGAGGGGGAGGGGGAATGTGAGATGAAACAAGCTTCGAGTTCAACGTCTGCCAGATGCCACAGATTCAGCAGAAAAGAGATATTTCACTCGTGAAAGGACAGAATCATGCGCAGGATCATAAGGATGGTCTTTGGAAGGAATCTCCAGTATAGCAGGAACAGGCTTGTTGTAGCTATCAACTAAAAATCTTATCATATTTGCAACCTGGATAATGAAGGATATAGGATTAGGTCTTCAATTAAACATGCACAGTTTAGAGTTTATGAAGGAAAGCCAGAGGATCATAAATCAGTTCCAAGTTTTTTTTTTTTGGGGGAAGGGGGGTGTTCCCACTGGCTAATTAATCATTATTCATCTTTGAAGGCAGTGGACAGCGGTTTGAGATAGGAATAGATCCTCTAGGAAAACAAGCGAAAACAACAGATGATCCCACAAATGATGTGCCTGTGTGTAAAAATACCAAACAAGTGCATAAAAGGAGCTGCTTATATAGGGAATTTGTATTAAAAAGAGACACCCAGTAAAAACCCCAAAAGTTGATGAGCAAGAATGCATCTAGACCTGGCACAGGAGAAATATTAAAAGTCTAGGTGACCCAATTAAATAAGACTTCGCAGTATCTAATATCATGTAAGGTTTTGGTAGGGTTTCCATATAAGCAAATCCAATCATTGTGCAGGATAAGCTATCATACAGCGAGGATCTTCTGAAACATGCGGGTCATGTTCACTTCCACAAGTGGCTATTGCTGGTTTTGACTAGATTTGCATGTCTACGGACAACAGCCTTACCCACTTGCGAATTATGAATTAGTCTGAAGATGCAAATATAACTTACATATTGGCTTATCAGCACAATTGCAATGTCTTCCCTTGTTGTGAACTCTTTGAAAGCATCTTCAATTTGCTTGACAGTCGTTTCTGAAAACAAGCAGAGATAGATCATAAGAATACTATAGTGCCAACACTACATTAATGGGACACTTCTTGAATAACAGTTGTTCCTCTTCCCACACCCACCCACCCATGCACCCACATCTGCCCGCCCTCCCCCGTGCACACACACTAAGTTGCCACGTGCTTTACATATCAAAATATTGATGTTATCAAATAGACTTTAAATATTGAATTGGAAGCAAAGGGTAAAATGGCTTTGTACTGGGAACTTCTCCAGGGTTTAATCGTAGGAATTTCACAGTTGATGCCCTCAACATATCTTAAAAGCAGTTACAAAATACATGTAGTAGACATATAACTATCTAAACAACATTTAAGATGAGTAGATAACATGTAGCCGCTATAAACTGTAAACGTTATTTAGAAATAACTAATCATGTTATAAGATATAATAATCGAAGTTTAATGGCATACTTGAGTCGACAATGAGGTAATTTGTCTTCCTACGCAAGTCAACATTGCCCACTCCAGCCAGCAGAAATCCAACTACTGTGTCCTGTGTGAAATCCAGTTAAATAATTACAAGCAGAACACTACAATGGCTCAGGAAAATTATAACGCGGTGAGGAGCTTAAGACACTAAGGTGCCCGCATTATTAATTTATTGACTAGTCTTGGGTGGTGCAATTTGATTTGCATACCAACAACAAATAAAATCTCAAAAATCCTAGGGCATGTTTAGTATAAAAGAACAGAGTTAGGAAAGGGAAAAGGAAAGAGAAAATCCATCTTGGTGTGCTTGGCAGACCATAACAATTCTATTGGAAAACTCTCTATTGGAAAACTCACTTCCATCTCCCATCAGATATGGGAAGAAAACGCCGCCATAGTTTTAAGGACGAAAATAACCATACTCTTTAAAGCTTAAGGCTGAAGCTTCATAAGTCGCAAATACGTGTAGAGGTACACTTGCTGGAAAAGTGTCTACGCTGTCCCACTAACACGCGTTTATAATCTACAAGACAATCTCGCCCCAAAAAAAAAAAAAAGGCATGCACGAAAAGCATTATAAAAGCATGGCATTCTTACCTCATCTGCAATCATGGCGATGAGTGCTGAATTTCTTGAGGGGATTTGAACTCTGTTGGCCATTTGATGTGACTTCAAATAAAAAGGCGCAAAAAAGATGAGAGAAGCATTGGCATATAAAGAACGAAGTCGTGTGCAACTAGCAAACAAGGAACACAGGGGAGGCAGCCCAAGGACAAAACCGGATATTAGATCCTATTAGTGTTTATTTAAGGTCTCGGTAGCCCTACGGTGATATGGACAAAACCAAGAGACATCGTTTTAAACCATATCTCCTAGAATTAGCACCAATAATTTAGACAAGCTCGAGGTGATTTTCACTATTCCAAAGAATGATCACTTAACCAAAATGTGATGAAGGAAACAAGGAGGCTGTCTGGAAGCAGATGCCAAAGAATAAACAGCTACTTGAAAGAAGCTGTACAGCCTACAGCAATCCTGCATGCATTCATATACCTAGGATCACCAGATAAATCCGGGAAAAATTGATAGGTGAAATCAATAATTAAAGGACATCTGATTCCAATTTAACGCCCAAACGACAGCCAAGTCTTACGAATTATGATGGGTGAAGTGCATAGACATCGTGAGAGAAACACTAGATAGGAAAGAAACAGACTCCGAGTCAATTGAAAACAATGCTGAAGCCTCAACTGACTAAACGCTTAACCGATTACGCTACACCAAGCAAAGAACATAAAAATATCTACGACATTAATTCTTCATTACCGATAAGTTCTGATCATTAAATCACAGATAACTAAAACTCACCAAATATTTGGGTTCAGAGTTGCAGGAACGAGTGGAACGCAATCAGAATGATCCGATTGGATTTGTCAGTATGATTGCATTCGAGTTTTGAGATGAGTAATAATGTTGAGGGTTAATTTTCGACGGATCTAAGGGGTGCAGGTGAATGATGATTGGAGGGACAAGGAACGGGGAGCTCAACAACGTTCCGTGCGTTTTCGGTAGTCTTCGGGAAGAAGCGGTAACCGGTAACGACTCGCGAATGCACCTAGCAGCGAGAACCGAAGGAAAAACTCCAAAAATTTCAAGCCCTGACCTCTAATTAAATTCCCGTCGAGGGCAAAAACGAACGACAGTTGCAGAAGATGCCGCTCTTTTTCTCCGTATTTCTATCATTTATTTAAGGCGATATTTTGGTGTTATATACATTGATAATATCATTATATTATTTTATTATTGATTCTTAAATAGCGTAATATTTGATAATATTTTGCCGCTGAAGTAAAGAACAAAAGTGATAGCAGCAATATAGATTATTTTTCACCCAAAAGCTGTAAAACTCCTCTCTTTTTTAATTTTAAAAAAGGCCTTCATATGCTGTCTAAAGAGCATCTTAAGACGGAAGCGCAAACCTTCACTTGTGAGGGGTGATTAGAGTTTCATTTCAACACTAATTCATCACTTTTTTTCTCCCTTAATATGACATTGGATTAGATTTTTTTTTAAATCTAGTTAAATTTAAGTGAATTGAGTTCAAGAACTCACCAACATACCTCCAAATTTAAAGAACATATTTAAAAATATTTATATTAAATATTTATGTAGTAAAATTTGAGCATTATGAGTGAAATCCTTATTAATTGAATCAACATTTGTTTAAAAGTGTCCGCAGTTAATTGTATTTCTCTTTCAACACAACCAGATTTGCACATACATTTGTTAGAACTTTATATCAACTTAATTGTTTTTACTATTATATTAAAATAAAATCAATCTCAACTGTACAAAAAAGGTAACCCATTTGACAAAAAATTAAATTAAAGAACAATTTTTTTTTTGGCCAACTAAAGAACAAGTTTTTACAACATACAAGGAAATATTGGAGGGGATTCAGCTTTCTTTAGCCGCTGAAGGCTAGAGGAACCCCTAATGAATTCAGAGGCTGCTACTGAGTTTTGGTGCCAGCCTGTAGACCTGATTGAACCTTGCTCTGAAAATGGGCTTCCAGCCTGAAATATATATACATGAAAAGTGAGAAACACCAAAGTTGACTTCAGTCAAACCCATTCCACAATAACCCACGACGCCTACAATATTTATGCCACCATTATTAATTATTTAACAATAATTATTTCTTCTTATTTATTCATTAATCTACATATCAAACTGGACAGGAAAGGGGAAGGAAAGGAAAAACAGTCGACTTGGAGCATCGTGCCTGGTAGCGCATTTGTAATAAATCGTGTCTGGGGAGTTATAGGTCCGTGCATTGGCGAACATTCTTCTGACATCTGCAACGAACATCTCAAATGTAACATAATATTGCTCAGACTCCACCCTCTTAGACATTGTCTTCAGATCTGCACCCACATTAAATGCATACAAAAGATGAGACCCTTTATGACGATTATTAACATTCTAGGTCATATCCAACACAAACAATCAGCAACAAAGATTAGGAAAGCCCCATATTACGAACCATATGAGAAACCATATAAAAAGTTTCAACTAAAAGCTTGAAATATCCCCAGAAAAAACCACAGGAGAGAATTCACAGATTGAAGTTGAAGCAGTTGCCATGCTTACAGAAAGTAGAAACGCAAGGTAAAAGTAAACAAAAATAATATGGATATGGTAGTTCTCACCCATTGGATCTTTGATGATGTCATAATAATCAGGAACATCCCGGGCATCAACGGGTTCCCTGAATGGCCAGGCATCAGCATGATCGTGCATTGACTGTATACAAGATAACAGCAATGACTGAAAAAGGAAAGAACCGAAAGGGAAAAGGAAAACTGATGTACTCAAGATGCGAATGAAGGTAAACAAGTTATCACCAAGAAAAAAAAAAAGAAGAAGAAGAAGGTAAACAATAGAAAATTTAAATTCAAGGTAATAAAGCATTCAAGAAACTTGCCTTCAGAAGTGATCGCATAAATGCAGTCAAATGTTTCTGATTCGCAGCGCTGTCTGTAGAAACACTTAAACTTCTAAATCGGGAATGACCCCACTGATCAGGAGTCCATCCAGCCTCTCCTGCAATTGCATGAACCACGGACGTCTGATCAGTTTTTAAACAATATCTGAATTCCTAAACATAACGCTTTTTTGCTCGCATCCACGGGAAAAGCCAACGTTTATACGTATCTATAAATCGGTAAAATGACCAGGATTTGATAAAAGCAAAATAAGATGAAATCCCCTTGACGCCAAGTATGTTAGTAAGAAACTAAGCACCATGCATGGGGTCGCCCGAATAAGAAATTGAGATTGCAGATCAGTTCTTGACATAGTTTATAAACAGATCCCAGTTTCGTATGTCACGAATCACAGGAAACACAGAACTTCATGTGTAAAATCTATTAACAACTGAACAATGACCAGTACTTACAAAAAATAAAATTTTAATTAAGCCCATACGTTTCAAAGCAGGGACTGGGAAAGCATAATTTAACCCAGAAGCACCCCAACTAAAGAACATTGGCAAGATAAACTGGGATTGGGAATTTGGTACTTACTCAAACCAGGAATGTCCTCAACTTTGATTGATTTTTTAGGAATACCAGCTTCTTTCTGCATGATGTATTCCACAAGTCATATGTTTCTCAATTAATGATAGTATGTGAACAATAGAAAAGGGGGGGGGGGCTTGCAACTTAGGCTGACATGCCAGGTAGTTTGCTCACATATGTCACAACCAAGGAAAGTGGCGGACTTTTAAGCAAGTCATGAATGAATGCAATTATTTAAAAAATAAATAAATAAAAAGGAAGAAAAGATTAGATAATGTTGGATACCTTCTGAAAATCAAATCCAGGATAAACAATGTGACAGTTTGACAGCTCTCTTATCTTTTCGTCTATAGCCTATATTGTAAAACCAATAATGATTATTCTCAAGGAAAAAAAAATCTGAAAAATCTACAGAATAACAGTTAGTAAAGAAGATAATTAATAATGTCACCAGATGCTCCAATGCTCCAATTTATATAGAAACAAGAATAATGCACACAGCCCTCCTAAATTAGATTCAACAACATCAACAACAACAAGCCTTATCCCACTAAGTGGGTCAGCTACATGGTTCACACGAGTATTCTATCAACAATCAAGTCCTTAGGAGGTCTTGTTCAATGACGTCATTGAACGTTCTTCTCGATCTTTCTCTATCCCTTTTTATGGGACTCCATCTAACTGCATCTTAATTCTGCACTACACCGTACATCAGAATATACTCAAATATGCATGTGATCACACTTCATTACTTAATTCTTTGGTCACAGTTACACTCACATGCTAATTGACCAATTAAATGACGTCAAAGTGTGGACTCTTAAATGTCTCCAGGGAGCAAAATCATTTTGGCCCAGTTAAAGGCATAACAATCCAACAGCCCATCATCAAACTTTATTTTATGATCATCACGGATGGATCAGGGATTTGCATCCAAATGCCTTCAGGTAGTGGATGCACATCTACCTTGATGAGGCCTCTTTTTGTCCAACTTTCTTAAGATTTAATATGCTTGGCAACTCCTTCCTCACCATGTTTCCATGTGTTTGCGTGCGTTTAAGAGGAGGCCATTGAAAATTAATAGAGGTATATTATATGGGAAAGAAAAGTTCAGACTAAGATGAAATGAGTTTAGAGTGTAAAAATTCCGTTTTATACTTACAGGTATATGTTAAAATTTTAATGAAAGAAACATGATGACCTCTCATGTAAACTAGTTCATCTAAATCATTATGAAAGTAAATCTAACAAATTGCCAAATGGATACTATGTTACCTGCCTCTGACGACGAATCATAGTTGATAAATCAGTGTATGGGAGCTTTGGATCGATCTTGCATTCCATGAGAATTCCTCCGTCATAATCCTTGATATACCTGAAATGACGATTAATTTTGATGATCCCCCAGATGGTATATAACAAACAAATAGTGAAAGATGAAATCACTTTTTTTTGGTTAACAAATAAAAAAAATTAAGCACTTGCAATTCGGGTAACTCTACACCCCAACCAATTATGATACTGAAGTGACAAATAAAATTAAAAAGAAAACATTCTTTCACTTCACGTTAGATACAGCCATGGGAAGAACCGCTGCCATGTTTCAGACAAGAATGAAGATAAAATTACCCTTGCCATCTATCTTTCTCCAAGTGAATCTCTTTTGTGAAGCCCTGAAGGAAAATAAACCAAAATCAATGCCAAATCTAAAATTGTATCCATTAGTTGAACAGAAGGGATATTTAAAACAAGCCCACCCCATGCGCCCCCTCACTTTTCCTCTAAAAAATTCCTCTCGGAAATACTAAAAATTAGGTCAATTGGATAGGAATGGATTCCAATATCACAATGATTTTTTCTCTGTATTTGGGTCTCCATTTGCAATGGCTTAGGGCCCTAATGGTACAAATTCTAATAAAGGATGGAAGGTTGGGGTTTAAACCAGGGGATTGTCCGTTATTAATAATTCTTATACCAACTAACGATGTCCAGATATTCCTCTTTCATCCTTAGTTGATCAAAAGAGAAAAGATCAGTAAATATGCTATCCAAAAGCAACTAATATATCTCATGATTAGCTTATTTAAAAAAAAAAAAAAAAAAAGATACCGCCAGACAAGGATGTCATATATTGATAACTAGACCTGTTTGATAAAATAGCCAACAGCATTATTATCAGCATATGTGAGAAAGTGTGTCAATCCATCCTCATCACGAGCATACTGTTTCAAGTGATTCATCAGTCTGGTGCCATAACCTTTTACTTGCTCATCAGCTGTTATTGCACAAAAGGCTATTTCACCGAACTTTTGGCTATGAATCATAAACCACAAGAGTATCAGTAAATACAATGATAGTTTTTTTGTTTCAAGTGAGGCTAAGTTATGGGTCCCCCTCCCAAAAAAAGACTATACTATAGTGGGAGGGGGGGTAGCAAATAAAGAGGGGGGAAAAAACAAATTAATGCTAACTCTATTGACATCTTAACAGTAATAAAGAAAAGTGTGACAACCTCTCATTTTCTCTTTACACGAACCGATAACTAAATGAGGTAATACAGCAGTAACATGAAGAATATGAAGATATGGACGTGAATCATTACCTTACATATGGGCGATATGTAATTCCTCCAACAACATGATTACGTCTTATAACCATCACAGACTTGTGGCTCCTGCAAATCCAACGAGCAAGTGCAAGCATTTACAATTACAAGCATCAAAACACAATCTCAAATCAATTTCAGAACTTGTCCATTTAAAAATGCCTATGGATATGTTTTAGTACTTAAAATTTAAAAGACTACTGGCATTACCTATCCATAACAAGTCGGACAATGTATTCCTTGGGCATGTTGGGAAGTTGTCTAGCAAAAATATTCTTTAATCCTATCAACCTAACCAATCAAAAGCAGTAGTAAGAATGAATATCATTAATATCAATGTTCACAGAGAATTAGAAAATATGCAAAATCTCCTCCAGCCAGCTGGTACTTGAATGTTCTTAGAAAAGATGAATAAATACCAAACCATGTGCTCATCAACACCATCATTTGAAAGGCATACGAATTTCAGCTTCCCTGCTTCTTCCTGAAAGACTCCAAGGTACCAAATCGTCATAACTAGGAATCTTGATTTCCATGAAAAGGAGCGTTGAATAGTTTAGACAACGAGAAAAAGGCAAAACAGAAAGGAAAGATGCGAAGCAAACATACATGGCAGAATCAAAAGACCTCTCGTCAAACATGCAAGTATGCAACAAAATACTTGCTACAGATTAATTGAGCGACAAGAAATTAAAAATTTAATCCAGAAACAGGGACAAATTGCTAGTGCTGATATGAGAATGCACATGATATTGACTTATGATGCGAACTTAAAGCCTTCCTCAAACGCACTGGAAATTTTGCTCCCATTCACGGGAGAAGGAGTGCTCTACCTCTCTCCTGAGATTCTCTTCCCTGGCACAGTATGCCCCACTCGTCTGCAAATTATCAGTAAAAATCTTTGTTGCGTCCTCCTTAACGATAATGCCCGGAACTGAGGTCGAGGTGGGAATGGTTCCCACCGAAGCAGTCCCGGCTGTGGCAGCGTCTTTAGCGCTATCCGAATTCTCTATCTTGACCGTCGTATTATCCTTTTGGAGCTTGGTGTTCCGCGGAGCTGAGGGGGGGTTTTCAAGCCTAGCGGCAGTGAAGGTGCGCATGGAGGATTCATTGTCGTAATCCTCCTCGTCGTCGTCAACAACGGCATCCTCCGACTCATCGTCGGAGTCGGAATCAGCGCCGCGAGCAGAAATGCTCTCGAGGTCATCATTGGACGTTAAAGCACCGTCGCGGGTGTCGGCGGAAAAGGAAGAGGGGGGAAAGGGAGGAGCGTGATCATCCGACGCCATTTTGCGCTTGTGGATGGTAGAGGTGGCAGAGGCAGAAGCAGAGTGAGAGGGAGAGGGGGATTGGGAGCTACGGGAGCGAATGTTCCCGGCCGCGTGAGACGAGTGGGTGTCCATATCTAGGTTAACTTGGATCAGCTGAGCAGTTGATCAGTAGGCCGCATTGGGCAGTGGCTATTAGCTGGCGGATTTTCTTTTTCTTAAATGACTGACTGATTCAGTATGATTTACTCTGCAATTGATTGATTCTTGCTTCTATTAGATTGGGAGTGACACAAAATTCATGCTTTGATTCACCTCCCGGCGACTCCATTTTATTGTTTCGTGTTTACAAAACCCCAGAATTTCAGAATTGCTGAGACACTTGCAAGGGCTCCCCGACGTCACCCGAAGATTTCCATTTTCCTCGCCAAAAAGTTTTTTTTTAATTTTCTTAACATAAAAATTAATTGACTAATTTAAATAAATTAAAAAAATTAGTTATATTAGTTAATTATTTGTAATAAATAAATGTTATCTTTTTTAAAATATTCTTGTTAATCAAGTGTATTTGTTAGAATTACTATTATTATAAAGATTACTTCAAAAAATAAATATATATAAAAATAAAATATATTAAATTTTTATATTTAATATTTATAATTAAAATAAAATTAAACAAATTTTTAGATTAAAAATAAGATATAATAGTTTTTAACAGGAAACAAAAATCGAGGGTTGGTTTTAAGATACCGCATTTGTATTATAGCCTTTTCCCTTTTTCCAAATAAGACGGTGGGATTGTCATGTGATAGTTCTCAATTTAACTTTTTTGCCAGTTGCAAGACTTTTTTTATCTCAGTATAAATTATTTCATTAAATTTATTATGTGAACGTATATTTTTATTTCTAATTTATTATTCTGTTGTTATAATGTTTTAAAAAAATAAAATTAAAAGTTATTAAATTTTAAGAGATAATATAAAATTGAAAACTTCTCTTAACCATGATAAAAATTAGGTTAGAAGTACCTTATCATCGTTATAACTATAGCCAGGGTAAGTGGCAACAATCCATGCTGTCTTCTCAAATGGCAATGACGTAGCGTGGCGTAGATCATACTCACTGACGACGCGCTGAAACCTCAGGCGCGTACGCATGCACGTCCATCCATCTTAGATGATCTGATGTGGTGCCATTTCATGTACAGGAGTAACAGAAATGACACCATCTGGCCGGATATCTTTAGTTTTAATTCCGTCATCGATCCCCAAACCCTTAGAAGTATAACCAGATGACAGTATAATTCTTTTGAAACAAGTTAAACTAGAACAGGGATATAAAAGCCAATAAAGGATATACATTAATCAAGACTGCCGACACGACCAAACGGAATAAACTCCGACACGCAAAACGATGATTTTGAATTTTTGATCAGTTGAGGGAGTCAAACAAAACATAAACAGCTTCTTTGAGACTGCATATATATCAATTTCACAATCCAAGTAAATTTTCTGCTGGTTCCTAAATCTCCCCAGCCTGGACCTGATCATAACCAGTGAAAATAACCGCCATTATTAGGCAAATCATGCACATATAAACACACATAAGCACACGTTCACAATGCAATACGAACCCAGAAGCACTATCATGGTCCAATCAGCTAATAGTAATAATAGGCATCTTTCTTGGTCTCCCTGAAGGCCAGTGGGATATAACCCTCCTCCTTCCCGCTCCTCTTCCTCGAACCACCCACATGCTTCATCCTCGTTGACGCCGAACTGAAAGTGTGTGTGTGTGTGTACACATTCAACAAATTACATGTGAAAATGTTTCGTAAGCTCTCCCGCATGATCCTCTTCTATATTCTTTAATATAATTAATGCAGCAGACCTTGATTCTAACAAGTAATCCATGTCGGAACATGTATAGTACTCTTCCGATCCTTAATATAAGACCTATTTAACTAATTTGATTAGATTAAGAAAGTTAGGTAAATTAGTTCATTATAAGAAAAGTGACATTTTTCCTAAAACACTATAATCATTTTTTTAATACCCCCCTCTCTCTCTTCTACTTGATTATGATTGAGGGAGTATCCATAGGGATAATTTAGAGAAAATTGATAAATATGAGAAATGGGTCTTATATTTAGAATCAAAACCAACTCAAGAATTGAGTTCTATATCAACGACCGGGAGAGTACTAAACTGCTAATTAATGAGACAGAAATGCATATAATTCCTTGTGAAGTTGTTGTCTCAGGGAGATTGTACAGTATTATCTACTTCTGTTACTAAGTTTAATTTGCTGCTCTGCTAATAATAGTGAGAGGACTTAGATCAAGCCGTACTTTATATACACACCCACATACCCTGAGGCCTGAGCCTGAGCCTGAGCAGCGAGGATGTCGCTTTGCTTTGCCCTGAGTCTTTGGACGGACTCCTCATCCATGTCTTCAGACTCTTCCTCCCCGTACTCAACCTTCATGCATCGAATTATGAACAGCCAACGACTTAATTAGCTGTGAGAGTGCAGGAAAATGAACAGCTTATTATTGTTGCGATAAAGCATTTCGCATGTGACAACTTTCTTACTCTGAACCATTTTCTCTGATAGTTGTACCCGACAACTTTTCCCATATACTTAGTTCCGTTGCATTCCTTGCAAATAATCAACCCTATATAACGCCGAGGGTCGGAAGGGATCACATTTTGTTCATTCTGTAAAATGAACAGACATACATACGCAAAAAAATATAAACAATGAAATCAAATCTTAGTGGTGTAAATTATTTGACAATCAATATCTAGTACTGTTCAAATTATATGTATATAGATATATATATATATATTCATGAAACACATGGAAATGCATACCACTGCAGCAGCTGGCTGATTTGGGCCCTGCTGGGGGTTTTCATTCTGAGCACCATTTCCTACTGGTTGGTTTACTTCTTGATCACCTTCAGCCGCATTATAAGCTCCCAAATTTGGGACGATGAGGTCTTCATCACTGGATGATGAAACAACTTCTTGCATACAGCCAAGGTAATCATCACGATAAACAAAAAAGCAGCAAAAATATTAACATCAATAATAATAGTTGTACTGTAAAACCTCGTGAAGCATCCCTCATCCAAGCTTAATTTCCAGCAACACATCAATATGACTTCTGAAATAATTTGCGCAAGACATATGCTTGTCTTAAATTAAGTGTGTTTGTGTGTGTTAAACTTAGGAAGGGCAAAGGCCAAGGTTTCCTCATGTTCTAGACGTCAATAAACAAGGAAAATTATGTGTTTTTCCGAATCATTAAATAGATAGATTCAACCTTCCATTCAAGAGTGGGCATATATGCCTCCTTAGGAAACAAGAATTTGATTAATTCATGCATGTAGAGGCATGTTCCCATCATAAAGTTGTAAAAAGAAGGTTTCATGCTGGAATTAATTAACCTGGCCTCCTCCAAGTAAGTATATCCGTACAATTGTCTTTCATTTAAATAGAAATCTATTTGAATACATCATCAAATTAGACGAAGCGAAGAATCTGATTTAAGGGGGCTAATATATTTACTGGCAGTAAATTTCAATTAAAGCATACGTATTTCATAACTCTATCAACAATAGTAAAATCACACTAAAATTTTACCCAAAAAAAACCATAATCAAAGTCATTGTGTATTCTTTTTTAAATACCTTGATGCCAAAAAGGAAAGTGCGAATTAGTACATAGTATTCTACTAATAACAAAGGTAGTGTGAGGATAGATCCTTTCATTCAAAATTTTGGTCCAAACTTCCCAGCGAAACACGCAGATAACTCATCAAGCAAAATCAAGAGAGAGATAAATATCACCAAAGCAAAACCTTATAATTTAATCTTTTTTTAATTTTGAACTCTTTTCCTCGATCTCTTGTGATGTAGTCAGCATATATCAGTGCAATAATACAGGCCTATATGTACACCCTAATACCAACCAAAAGCTCTTAAAACGTTAATTCATTAAGGAGTAGTTAACACAACATATAGCTTTACTTTTCACAAGCATTTGCATATACGTAACATGGGTTCTGCACTTCCAACTAGCCAGCATTTCACAGAACATAATGTAAAATCAACTTAATACATGTCTCAGACAGGACAGAATAGAGACGCTACAAGACAAGAAGGATATAGAGGCTTTTTCTAGTGACATTTATAACAAACACCGAGAACCGTGGCATTTGTCACGAAAGAACTGCCGATGGTGGTGTTTCTCGAGCTAGGCATTGTGCATACGACATTGTTCAATTTCTTTTCTTTTATGTGTTAGCTTCTTCGAGTGCTCATGGAACAAACTGGGTTATAAGATTCAGAACTATCATAATAATTTGGTTTTAACATATAGTAATAATAAGATATAGATTTCAAATAGTTTGGATGAAAGTTTTTATCGAAGTGTGTGCGCGTTTTACCCAAATCGAATGAGCAATGTAGCTAATGTTTCAATAAGGACTCCTTGAATATATATATATATATATATATATATTTATATATGTCTTGAGAAACTGGAGGAACCCATTATGCTATATCAAGATAATTTGAAGATGCAAATCATAGCACAGTACTTTTAAGTCGGCGATATAACTTCTGGGAGTTATCCTATTCAAGTACCTTAAGTACTTCAATCAACTTGCTTTTTCGATTTTAAATTCTCCTCTGATCATTAATATACAACCTAATTAACTAATTTAAATAAATTAAGAATGTTAAGATATGTTAAATCATAGCACAGTATTTTTAAGACGGCAATATAACTTCAAGGAATTATCATATTCAAGTGCCTTCAATACTTCAGTCAACTTACTTATTTGTTTTTAAAATTCTCTTCTAGTCCTTAATATAGAACCTAGTTAACTAATTTAAATGAATTAAAGATGATAGTTAAATTAGTTAATATGATATGTTTTTTCTAAAATACTCCTCCGGTCCTAATTATAAGACCCAATTGACTTATTTGAGGAGATTAAGGAAGTAAGTTAAGTTGGTTATTTATAATAAATAAGTGTTGTCATTCCTAAAATATCCTTGTTAATTAAGTATATTGGCTAAAACTATCATTATTAGAAGGATTATCTTGGAAAAAAATGCATAAATATAAGAGACAAAATGGATTGGGTCTTATAATTAGGACCAAATAAAAAGTCAAATTGGGTCTTATAATAAGGACTGGAGGAGTATCTTAAATATCTTCTTTAATTTCCTCCCTCCCTCTTTTATTTGATTATTTCTAGGAAAATACCAATAGGGTTAATTTAAGGAGAAAAAATTGATAAACATGTTAAACATATA